CCCCCGACCCCCGACCCAACAGCCCACCGGCCCACGGCCGGGCGCGCGCTGAGTCACCGCCCGGACCCGGTGCCCGACCTACCTCCGGCCGCGCCTCGCGAGCGCCTCCGGCTTTGGACCCCCCCGCGCCCGGAGGGACTCGGTTACCAAAAAGAATCTCCCCGCTCCAGGGACCGACCGGCCCCCCCAAGTGACCGCGGCGACGGCAGCCGCTCCCCCTGCGAGCCCCAGGAGACCTGCGCCTTCTCCTCGAGGGCACCGCCACGTCGCCTCTGCTGCTTCAGGGCCTGCCAGGCGATATGCGCTTCTTATGTGTTGAGTACTTCTTTGAACAGCTGTAGCTCACGTCTACCCTTGGTTTGAAATGGAAAAAATTCTTCTAACAATAGGAATATAGTTCGGTAAATGCTGGTGGGCAGCCACTTAGAACTTTCTATGACGTGTTCATTACTTATAAAGCATATTTTAGTGGAATGAACGATGGAACACAATACCATCATTTAAAATTATTTTGTGAAGAACTGGTAGCGGAAGACGTTCATGATATTTTAAGAGAAGCCTGTCCAGATCCCATTTTTATTTTTAAGATGAATCTATATATATAAAGACAAGTTTGGAAGCATATAGTCTTAAGTAGTTTTCTTTAACGGTGAGACCACGGGCCATCTGTACACATTTTCTAACTTTTTACAAATTTTTAAATTTTGTAATAACAATAATAATACTGTATAATAACAAGAATAGTATTTTTAAATGAGAAAGAGAGAAAAAATCAATAAATAAATTGAAAAAACTCCTTAAGAGGCGAACTGGAGCTGGCGGAGGGAAGGAGGCCCCCATGTGGTCACAAAGATGCATTTCCTTCCCGAATTTCCTCTGCTAGGTGGGACTCTTTTCCAAAGAGGAGGAACCTACGTCCCCCGGTGCCCCACACTCCTGGGCTTGGGGTCTAGCAGCCGGGGTCCTGAGGTGCCCTTTGTTTTCTCTGTCAGCCTGGGCTGAACGTTCAACCAGGGGTCATCCTGGATGCATTCTTCTTTGTGTATAAAGTGGAATCTCCCCAGGAGTGGAAGAGGGGAGACTCTTTACTCAAACTGGTTGGAGAGGTCTGTTCCCTTCACCTCATTTTCTTTTCCTCATTTCTTTCTTCACCTCATTTCTGGTGCCCACCAGCTCTCAGGGATTGTCCCTAAAATGGGAGGGGGTAGGGATTTCCAGCTTGGAGCCCCTGGCATCCTTTTGCCTTTTGGAGTAAATCCCTGAGAGAGTAACATCAGCCCACTCAGTACAGCAGAATGTTCCGGAAT